TTGTGATAAACAATGATAGACAGATATAAAAATTGCCAGTGGGCTATCTGAGAAGTGGAGGAGTTAATCTCCCAGGCATTTAGAAATGGTACATTGTGTTTTTTTGTTTTTTGTTTTTTTTTTTTTAATTTTCGAGACAGGGTTTCTCTGTAGCTTTTGGTTCCTGTCCTGGAACTAGCTCTTGTAGACCAGGCTGGCCTCGAACTCACAGAGATCCGCCTGCCTCTGCCTCCCGAGTGCTGGGATTAAAGGCGTGCGCCACCACCGCCCGGCTTAGAAATGGTACGTTTAACTAGGCTTTAAGGCAGGGTATGAAAGTGGTTTCACCAAAGAAATACCGTTTGCAAATACAGTTTGCTCACAAAATTAAGTCAAGAGACTGTAGAGGATTGAGCAGTATATAGGCTGTGCTCTACAGGTAGAGAGCCATTTTCTCTGTCCTAAGGAGTTTGGCTGCTTGGGAGCACATCACAGAATCAGGAAGAATAATGAATGATAGGGGTGGAGCTAAGAACACAAGGCCAAGGCAGGAAGGCCAGTTGGGGTGTTTTTGGTGGTGTTTGTCTTTGGTTTTAGATGAGGTCTTGAGCCCCTATGTAGCACAGGATGAACAATTATTGGTCCCCTTGCCTCCACCTGCCAAGTGCTAGAATTACAGGTATGCACTAACACACCCAGCATATATGATACTAGACGTGTGTGTGTGTGTGTGTGTGAGTGTGTGTGTGTGTGAGTGACACAGGGTGGACAGTGTAGGACGTTTGTGCCTTAGACTTAAGAGGTGGTTTACTTTGCTCAAGTTAAGAACTAGAAAATGGGAATAGACAATATTATTGTTTGCTTAACTTTCTTTCTCTTTAGTCCACCAGTCCCAGCCATGCTGTAGTAGCCAACGTTCAGCATGTCTTGCATCTGATGAAGCACCACAGTAAAGCTTTGTGCAATGATCGAGTTGTTAACAGTGTTCCCTTGGCAAAGCAAGCTTGTTCCCGAGGTAGCAAGAGTAAGAAGCCAGTGACACCTCCTTCCAGCAGTGTCAGTGAAGAGCTGTCGGATGTCTTACAGACACTACAGGATGAATTTGGGCAAATGAGCTTGTGAGTTTTAAGTTTTTTAATTTTAAATTACATTTGGCTCTAAAATCCTATTTTTTTTTTGTTGCTTGAATTAATTCTAATTTTGTTAACAGGTGTTGAGCATAATCCTTAAACTAGCTCAGTGGCTAGAAGTTATTTTAAATAAACGTAACTGACATGGCTACCACCTCCCTTTCTAATTTTGTTAGATGGCTAATGCTATGTGAATGTTAATAGTTTTTAGGGTTAGCTAAATGTCACTGAGTTAGGACAGTTTAGAAACCAGTGTCCTCCTGTAGAATTTCTTTATATGGAATGTTGATGGAGGAAGAAAGCAAATAAAAGTATATTAGTCTACAACCCTGGATGAACACAAACTTGAATACTTGTGTATACCTTCATTTTGTATTATTTATTTATGTGTATAGCACATGGGCTGGTGACCAAGGAGGCCAGAATATAGGACACCAAAGCCCCTAGAACTGAGGTCACAGGTGGTTGTGAACCACTTATGTATCAGTGTGGTGCCGGAACTGAATGAACTTAGGTTCCCTGGAAGAAGCAGCTCTTTGTTAAAAGGCAAAGTGGGTCATTCATACCGAGATTTAAAGGATATAATTGTTAAAGATGAGAAACTTAAGGAAGCTGCACTTGTGTTTTGTGTGTAGTGATCACCAGCAGCTTGCTAAACTCATCCAGGAGTCACCGACTGTGGAACTGAAAGACAACTTGGAGTGTGAATTGGAGGCATTAGTGGGGAGAATGGAAGCAAAGGCCAACCAGATAACTAAAGTTCGAAAATACCAAGCCCAGGTAACTCCTTCCCCTCACTTGTTCGTCATGACTAACTTTCCCCCTTGGTCTGTATTAATTGATGATGCTAAGGTATGTTTACTTGTCCAGGCTATTCTTGAGGAATAGTCAGTCTGTGTTAATTCTCACTTAGGTTTCATATAAGTCTTTACTGAATATATTTAACATCTTTAGCCTTATGAATGAATTTTAACTTATGGATAAATTTAAATGGTTGAGTTTGACCAAATTAAATTGTCTACAACACCTAGAGTTTTTCAGTTTTCAACATAGTAAGTCTGATTAAATATGTGAAAAAGTAGTATGTTTGCTCATACTAAAACCTACTTCAGCTTTTCCCACTTATTCCCAAACTTCAGTTATTGTCAGTCCAGGAACTGGACTCCACCTTTGTTCTGGCTCTGCTCCACAGTAATCTCAAAACCACAGTCTAGTTCTCTAGATGAAAGCCCTGATGAGGTTTATTTAATATGAGTACACCTCCTCCTACCTTTACTTAGTGTTTTTACATACTTAAGTACTAGAATACTGAATGATTGATGATTTCTGCAGGTTATATGCTTAAAAAGAAAAAAAAAACCTTGCCTACAATGTATCATTTGCATGTTAGAGGAAGACTGTTTAAGGTATTGGTGACTCAGGAGGCAGAGCCAGAAGGATCAAGAATTTAAGACTGTATATAGCAAGACAGTGTGTCAAAAACAAAATACTTGAGCTAAAAGAAAATGTTTTTATTGAATTCGATTTTTTTTTCCCTGCCTTGATTATTTGGATAGCTGGAGAAACAAAACATAGATAAGCAGAAGAAGGAATTAAAAGCTAACAAAAAGACTGTTGAGGAAGAAGGAAACAGCAGCAGTCGCTCATCTGGAGGCACAAGGACCACAAGTAAGAAGGATTTTGCGAAACACAGACCTGGAGAAAAAAGCAGGAAAAATCTTCAGTTACTGAAGGACATGCAAACCATACAGAATTCACTGCAGAGCAGTAATCTGTGTTGGGATTACTGACACCAGATCATAAATGATGTACCTTACTGGATAGAATTTCCAGGTTTCATGCTTGCTAATGTTGCCATTACTAGCAGGTATTAAGGGGCCCAAGCTTCATTACAATCTCTTGTGTTCTGCAGCACAACTAAATGGAAATGGAGTTTTACAGCCTGAGAAGCTGCGCTGTTTCTATACCCTCTATACTGCACTTTGTAAACAGACGACCAGTTTTTTACCCGTGGGTGTGTTTTTTAAGTAGGAATATATGTAAATTGGGTTTGAAAATTTAGAATATGAGGCTTTCCCCAGAGTCAGTGCTTGAAAAGTCTCGTTTTTAAAATCTTCCCATGGCATGAAGTGACCACTACCTTTCCCTTCTCCAGATACCATTAAATGTACTGTTTCAACTACTGATAGAGGTTTTCTGTATTTAAATATTTATTTATTTAAGAGGACTTTGTTTTGTTCTACTTTTTGGTATTTCAGATGTTGACTCTTAAAGACCAAAACATTTTAAGTAAGTTACTCATGAAATATATAACATCTTCATGAAACTAGAAACAGTTGTTAATGAAATAAATGAAATATTGGAGTAAAGAACTAGGAGGGGATGTTATGAAATGTACACGGCTGCAGTTTTTAGACAATACCTATTTGTAATCATGTTACCTCAGTTAAGCACTGGCTTTTAATCTTGACTCTTAGAGAATCCCATTGCTTTTAGCATATACAATAAAGGGTAGTGTGTGAACTGAACACACACAACTATCATTATGTCAATGTAAATTATACTTTTGAATAGATCGACATGTTAAACTTTATAAATTTGGTACTGAAATCAATAAAGCAATTTTTAAACTTCACTTAGTAGCCAGCTAACAAAAGTGTCATTTGTTGTCCAATCTCAAGAGTGCATATTAGTATCCTGATCGAGAAACAGTATTTAGTGCATGTTTGTCATTCTCCTGCTTCCACCTAAGCCCAGTATGACTGACTGATTCATTAGACAGGCTGGTGAACACGCTAGCCATATACTCAAGGAACTCAAGTGGAGGTTATGGATTATAGCTTAAAAACATGCACTATTCATGCTACAATTTTCTAGTTAAAATTCTCAGAGTCATTACATAGATTGAGATTTATAAATCTGAAATTGTATATAAACTTTACTTGTGTGTGCAATTTTCTGACAAGCAGGTTTGCAGCAACAATGAATGACAACAGTGAGTCCATAGACCACAGGAAGGTGAGAAACTGCTCTGATGACATGGGAAATATTACATCTCAACACCACTTCAACTGCTCCACTTATGTTAATTCATGTTTGAATATTAGGACATTAAACTGTATAATTGTCATTTGAGTGGTAATGGCTCCAACTCCTGATTAAATCTTACCTATCTCCAGCTGGATTCAAACTGTGGGCTTTGGGTTTGAGCCTGCTTCAGTTTCTTGCTTGCTCATTCACAGCAGAGCTCCTTTGTACTCTGTACAAGATGCCAACAAAGGAGTGCCAGGAATGCAGCTGGATTCCACAGAAAGTGCTTTTAGTGTGCAGACTCCACAATGATTTCTTGGAGATCATAGAAGACATCGGAAGGTTTTGAAGGGAAACACAACAGAGTTTCACTTATATTCCTCTGGCTTTTGAGTGATTGTATGACCATCTTTAATGTCTGGATCTCAGCAGCAACCCTTTGTGCCATACCAAGATGATAAAAGTTTCCATGAGGGAAACAGTCTGGAGAGGAAAGTGTGAACTACTATAGAAATCTTATCTAAATACTGGTTAGTAACATAAATAATCCCTAAAAATTTCCATATCACACCAAATCATTTAGTACCAATTTTGTTAATACTGGATATGCTGGGGATATAGCTCAGTAGTATAGCACTTGCCTAGCAAGTATGAGATTCTGGGTTCACTGTCCAGACAAGCTAAAATAAAAGGGATGGGGAGACCTGTGTGCATGTGTGTGTGTGTTTTCTAGCATCAACAACAGGATGACAGTTCAGACAGAGAAAAGGGCTGTTTAGGTGTCAAGGAAAGATGGGCTCAAATTGAACTTTCTAGATAGTTGGATTGGGGAAGATACTTTAGACAACTGTGGACAGGGACAAAGGTTGAAAGCATTTAATTAAAAGATGCAGTGGTAATAAGCTCCTTTGTTACAGTACATTACATATGGCTCTTAGACAGAGTAAAATGGACACCAGGAGGTCAACTGTTCACACCAGCACCCAACTCCGGTGAGTAGAGAAACAAGGCTTTACTTGCTGGCACTGAGATTGTAAGTCTTTACATGCAGTGTGTTCTTTGGTAAAGTGTTCATGTGAAATTTAAACATAGCACTAAAGTCAGACTTTTAAGGTTTTAAAATATTGTCTTAAAACTTGCCAATTAGCATTAAGATAAAGTGGTATAACAGTTTCTAAAATGTCTTCCTTGATGTTAGTGATAAGCATACAAATGGAAATTAGTCTGAAGGTGTGGAATGTTCTTTCAATTCCTGGATAACAGCTACTGCTTTGTCCCTTCACTCCCCCTCCCCCCAAGCACATATATAAGGCATCAACCTTTAGTAACTGCTGTTGAAAATACCCTAATTACAATGTCAGCAGCAATTTTTAACTACTGATATGCCATAATAATTTCTTTATTAAATACCACAAAAATTAGGAAATTTGAGAAGGGTGATTTTGATCTGACATGTCCAACAAGGCCCAGCACATATGCTCTTGGGTATAAGAACAGCTGCTCTTGCTTTTCTGCCGCCTAGAGATCTTGCCAGGTACTCAGTTTTTTAAGACATTTTTGAATTAAAAATTTGTTCCCATGCATGGATACAAAATTCCAGTACTTTGGTATTCTTTGGGTGGCTTAAGATTAGTGTCATACCTTAATTACAAATGAAATAATTTCCATTGTCACCTGCAGCAGACGTTTCTAAACTCATCTAAGAGAGACTTGAAATAAATACGGCATCTGAAGGTTTCTCCCATAGATGGATTTAAAACACAGAAGGCTTTCTACCCTAAGCCTGCTAAGGTGCTGTAATGTCAAATTCCTGGCAACGATGCCCCTGACAATAGTCCTTTCATACAACAGTTTGGACAGGAGTCACACACTGTGCAGGAGAGCTGGCTCTCTCTGAAGAAGAGGTTGAGCGGTTGGAAATTTCTCTCTGAAGTTCCTCTACTTTTCTCTGAAGCTCTGCTCTTTTGGCAAGAAGTTCTTTGTATCTGTTGTGGATAGGTTCCTGCAAGAGCAAACAAAATCACTGCAATAGGAATCCCAGCCAACCTCAAGATCTTAATCACTCTCTGTGCTTTATGGCACTGGCTGTCTCATCAGTTGGACAGCCCCAAACTTCAGTTCCTCAGTGGACTTAAATTCAGGTTTTATTGACGCCACTGATCTTTCAATGTCCATATGTGTTTCTGGAAGATACTACTGTGTACCATTTAGTTAAAATTCTTCAGGACTATTGACCTACAGTTTTTAGGCTTTTATAAAGTTATTTTCTTGAAGGTGTGTGCACTTGAGACAAGTCTCCTGACTGTCAGATGATGCAGTGTCTGTGACTTTGTGGATTATACCCAACTAATGAACAGAGTGGGGGTTGTGAGTGGGACAGACCTAGTAGAGTCATACTGCATATTGGAAGTCTGTACCTGTGGTTTCATCCGGGGGTTCCACCTTATGTAATAGCCTACCCAGAGTTCTAGGTGGCGCATGCTGGCTACTGGGTAAAGGACATGGTTGGAGTAGCTTCCATAAAGAGGATTAGTGAAATCTTCCAGCTGGCTGTTTATGTAGGACCACAGTGACACTGTCCTCTTAGGAAGATTCTGCAAGAAGGAAAAATAGGTAAGCGTTAGGTGAAATTTGTGTAGTGTTGCATGGTCATTAAAATCAACAATAGAGGAAAGGGCTGACTCTTTGGGAACAGACCTACTTCAATGAAAATAAAGTTACAGTTTATGTGAAGCACCCAGCAATTCTAGTCTTTGCAGATTGAAAAATACTTGTACATAAAGTGCCTCAGTGCTGGAGATAAGATCAAAATTCATCTACATTGGATAGTTCAAAACATCAGTTTCAGGGCATCCAATACTCTCTCTGGTATCCCACCACACAAAGACATCCCCCCCCCCCCCACACACACACAAACACACACACAAAAGTGCTCCATATGTTTAAAGCGGTACTGTTCACAACAACCAAATTAAGAACAACCCAAAAGATCGTCAACTGATGGGTACACACAATGGAAGATTATCTGACCATGAAGAGAAAGTGAGTGCTATGATATAAATGTTGAAAAGATACTAATGCAAGGAGCCAGATATGGAGGTCACATGGTGATGATTCCATTTAAATGAAATGTTCACAAAAAAGCCCATCTATAGAGAGACCAGGTTAGTATCTGCCCAGACCTGAGAGGACAAACAGGTATGGGATGACTTTGTTGCGAAGAAAATGCTCTAAATTAAATGGTAATGGTCCAAATTCTGTGGTTAGGTTATACCATTAAATTATCACTTGAAAAGAGGGTTTGTGGTATTTAAGTTGTATGATTAAGACTTAAGGGGGGGGTGTCTCAAAAGATTGACAGTGGTTAGAAAACTGCTGTGCTCTCATTTGTGATTATCTAATACCCCATTCCATATGGAGAGCATATGCACAGAAATACATTCACTATCAGCTATACCTGCAAGGCACAATCTAAGAAGCACTTAATTTTCACAAAAGTTAACACTATTTGCCTGTTTGACCAAAAACAAAAATGAATTTGCATGATGGGTATTGTGAGTCTAACATCTAAACTTGGTAGCAAGGCTTTTCACTGTGAGTACTATCCCAGAATGACCTATTATCGGACAGTATTCAGAATAAAAGTTGATGTGCATGGTAGGTACTACCGATACCACCTACAGTGACGCCTCTAAGAGTTGTTCTTTTGTTTTTGTTGTAGCAGGACTGAACCCAGCACTTCACAGACCTAGGGAAGCAATCCATCACAGAAGTGTACATCTCCAGCATCATCTACATCTTCAGACTTCTTCTGAGATGGGGTCTGTTTTAAAAGGCTGGCCTCAGATCTGTGATCCTTCTCCCTTACCTTCTGGAGTTTTCTGGGATTATAGGATAGGTGTGATTCCTTCATCCCCACTTCATGAGTAGAAATAATCTTAGTACATCTTGTGAGGTATAGTAAAACAAAATACATACCAGAGTGAGAGCCAGAGCTCATACTTTACCTCTTTCCCCCTCTGCTGTTCACTGTTACAGAGGAAGGTCCCAAATAAACAGCTGTACAAGTGGTCCAGGATAGTAATGAGGAAATACTCGTTGAATTCAAACGCAGTAGGGAACTGCAAATTGAGCACCACAAACAAACATGAGACATTTTTCAAGTATCTTTATCCCTGTCATGAGTAGATTCTTTGAAGCAGTTTTTAACACATCTGAAACTACCTAAGCTATAATCTGTTTTCCTCTGAGTCACTCTAATGCAGCAGTATTGAGTGGACTTAATGCTGGTTTTGTGCCTGCTCTGCCTTGACCCTATATTTGTGAGCCACTGATCTATGACTTGGAGCAATTCTGACAAGTCTGGTCTTCATGCTTTCTACATGTCTTTTTTCTTTTTTTATCTCCCCCCTCTCCCCGCCGATACAGGTTTCTCTGTAGCTTTGGAGCTTGTCCTGGAAGAGCTCTTGTATACCAGGCTGGCCTCGAACTCAAAGATCTGCCTGCCTCTGCCTTCCAAGTGCTGGGATTAAAGGTGTGCACCATCACCATCCAGCTAACATGTCTTATTTCTAAGAATTAAAAATATAAAATGTGGGGCTGGAGAGATGGCTCAGAAGTTAAGGACACTGGATGTTCTTCCAGAGGTCCTGTGTTCCAATTCCCAGCAATCACATGGTGGTTCACAACCATCTATAATGAGATCTGGTGCCGCCTTTGGTGTGCAGGCATAACACTGTATACATATAAATCAATAATATCAAATGTACCCAGCAAATGCGATCAGTAAATACACAGAAGTATGTATCTGTACAGCTATGCAGATAACTTACAAGACAAAAAGGTCTTTGTGATTCACATCAGTCCAACACAGAATTCACCCTTACCCAAGCCTCAGTGGGTGTCTTAATTTTATACAACCCAATTTTGGAGGACCATCAAAGGAATTACCACCGAAAGGTAGTAAAAAGCTTAATTTAATCCATTCTATCAGTATTGCAAAATCATTCACAAACTTACTTGTAAGTCTCTATTAGAGTTTGTGAAAGATTCCACAACAACCTGGAAAAATACTGCCTTGGTATTTTCGAAACAGCCCCTATCAACCTAACTCAACTCTGGAGACATGTAGTTTACAGCTAACAGTTCTTTAGCTAGATAATATACTGACAAGATGCTTTCAACTTTTGTTTTTTCCCCCTTTTGATTTTAATTATATCGCATTTCTAAAAAGTCTTCCCATCCTATCTGAACAGCACCCTAATTGGTCCCAGCTCCCAGGTCATACTTGTTAGGGTTTGGTGCATCTACCAATCTGACAGCTGGGCCATATTCTTGCCTTACTTGTTTTACTGGCATGTCTCCAGTGACAAGAACTATGCCTTATGGCTTAACCCTACTCCTAAAGCCATTTCAAGACCCTGAGGCTCTGATTCCTATCGCTAACCAAGTGCTATCTTCTAGTACCTTTCTAGACCAAAACAGTTTACACAGCTGCTTCAAATAAGCATGCTGCCCAAAAGATTGTTACAGGGTTCTGATAGCTCCCTGACTGAGAAGGGGCTAAGTGATCCCTGCCTTATAGTTTCTGTCCCAACACTTAAAACAGTTAAAATGACTCAAAATAGTGTTTGGTTTTGGCTGGAATTAACATAGCTTGTTTCTTCAATTTCCTTAGCAAAGTATATAGAGCTTTCAACGAGCAAAAGACCATAAGAGGAATCTTTTCATTTTTATCAGTCCCCTGGTTGAGATGCTACTAGTATCCAACTGTTTATTAGTATTTCTCTTAAAAACAAGTGTTTTTTTTTTGTTTTTTTTTTTTTTTTTTTTTGGTTTTTTCGAGACAGGGTTTCTCTGTAGCTTTGGTGCCTGTCCCAGAACTAGCTCTTGTAGACCAGGCTGGCCTCGAACTCCCAGAGATCCACCTGCCTCTGCCTCCCGAGTGCTGGGATTAAAGGCGTGCGCCACCACCGCCCGGCTTTAAAACAAGTTTTAATACCCAACAACAATGGTTGTAATCACTGGGAATTCTACCCAAGAATCATAGACCAGTCAGTGATCACGTCTCCCTCACTCTGAGCTTAGAGGGGATCTGTGAGAGGGGGGTTAGTGGATGATGTGATACCTGTCTTGTCATCTGCCAGACACAGTCGATAAATTGAAGGAAGACAGGGGATCTGTCTGCGTCTGCATGGTTCTTATCTCCATGGCCAACTCTCTGAAGCAAAGAATGAAATGTCACATGTAGGGTATTTTATTTAGTAGAATTTTATTTTCTAAAAGTATAATTTGGTTAGTATTTTTAATTTCTTCAAAAAGTCTTTTGAAAGTATTGTAAAGTAGAAATCACAACTCTACCAAACAAAAATAACATTCCCACATGCAAACTGCCACATTACTACTTTAATAAAGAAAACTAGATTCTGAAACAGAGGACAGACAGTTCTTAGAGCCCAGATTTTTGTCCTAGAGATTTAACTTCCTGTGATATTCTTTATGAAAGGTCACTGGACAAAGGGCACCTCTTCAGGAGATAGCTACATTAGCATAAATGTTAACTTTCAGAAATACTTGGGTTTGTTGTATGTTCTTCATACAAATGGGTTCTCACCCGCACAATTTGAAAATCCCAAAGCAAGGATTCATTCAGAAACTGGGGTATAAAACTTCTGGGGCAGGCATACATGTCATAATCCTAAAATGTGGCTTTGGTTCGCCTTTCCCAGGGTGCAGTACTGGTATTCATGTGTAAATACATACTGCTATTGGTTGTCAAGCTGGGCAGTGGTGATGGGTCACAGTAGGCTGCATGTATTCTATCCTGCCAGATGCTCACAACTGAAGGAAAAGAATCAAGTTTTCTTAAGACAATATCATTGGCAAAGCATAGAAATTGTTAATAAGTCTTTCCTATGAGTAAACAATCTTGTGACAAAATGGAGAAGGCACATGTGTGATTTGCTATTACACTGTGCATCTGAATGGGAGGAAATAACATTTTATTGTTAACTGTGGCTCCCAAAAGACTTGACTATTTGGTGGATGTTTTCCAAGAATTTGCAGTTTGTTTTCCTTAATGTAAAATACTATAGATAGTATTTGATGCTAATCATTGAAGATAAAAGTTTCAGTATATTTTTGCATATCCACTTTTCTGATAAAACCACATGCATATGCCTGATACAACAGAATGAAATAATGAATCAGGCGGCTCTATATAACTATGAGCTAGTGTTTTCTGCATAACCAATGCATAATGTTACAAAAAATTATAGAAAATGTAGGAGACCAAAAGATTTTAGGAGGGACAAAAAAAAAATGAAAAAATTCTGGATTCCACAACTTTTAAGAAATTTATTACTATTGCTAAGTTTTGACAGATTTTAAAACATCCATAATTTTCCAAAAAGGCTCTTAAAAATTACCTACATGGGGGGAGGAGGAATGGGAGGAGGTGGAAATTTTAAATAAATAAATAATAAAAATTAAAAGAATAAACAAACAAAAATTACCTACATAGGATTTTTCTTAATAAACTTCAATAGACTGATTGTAGCATTAGTCACTAGCATGCCTTCTTGACTGGATGGTCTTTATTTTAACATAATAAAAGAAAGAGTGGAATGGGTGACCAGGGCAAGCAATCAAGGAGTTTATGGTTTTGAAACACATAGCACTTTGAAGGAATTTGTTTTAAAGAGTGTTTTCTGTTAAGTACATTGTATAGAGGAGAGTGGGAAAACATGAGGTACTAAGGGGGGTGCCTCAGATGCCTAGTTTTGCTTGACAGTTGACATTCAAAAGAGCCAACCAATTTCAGGTGGCAGTTCTTTCAAGTTACTTATAAACACTGCTAGTAAACCCTTCTAAAGAGTAATACTAAAGAACATCTATGCAGATACTGACCCACATCCTCAGTGCCTTCTAGGCCTTTAATACTCTGGCTTCTCTCTCAACTAGACTCTTGCCTTGGTCATTTACTCATTCTCAACCCAGACATTTGCTCATCCTACTTCTTCCTGGGAAGAGGACCCAGTCTTCACTCTAATTCCAATACAAATGACACGGATGGATAGAGTGACGAGGTTGCTGTTCCCAGATTTCCTGATTCCTATACAGCGTTGAACAGGCGCCATTTAACATCCCATTGAAGAAGGCTCTGAGTCCAAAGCATAGCACAGGGATGCAAAGGTGAAATGTTTTCTCTTTTCAAGGAGGACATAATCCCATTTCACTAAAGAACTGAGATAAATTGTGTGTACCACACTTGTAGACAGTTTTAAGCAATGCTGGTGGACAACTGGGGAGAGAAGACCAAGAAGTTCATCCTGGAAAGGGGAAGCGTATGGGTGATGTGGAGGGACAGCTGTGGTCAAATATCTGAAAAGCAACAAGGAATGCTTTTTATTTGTCTTCAAAGGGAGTGTGGCAGGAAGCCTCATTTCATTATCACAAAGGCTTTCCAGCAGAGCATCTAAGTGGAATGACGGCCTCAGAAAAGGATATACACTTGTTTCTGGACATGAATCCAAAACTAACTTTACAGGTACACCTTAGTTGTTTTAGATACATACTTTGGATTCATGGATAAACAAACTTTTTATTCCAACTAACAACACATTCTCAGAACCTCCTAATTTTGGAGTTCACTATAAAAATAATCAGCCCAGTCCCAGTGGTGCAGCCAGAAAACTCCAGGTGCTCAGGATGCTGAGGCTGCACATTAGGGCTCAGCCTTAGAAATTTGGCAAGACCCATGTCTCAAAATAAAACATTTGTTTTTTAAGTGGTAGAGTACTTATCTATGCTGTATATGGCTTTGGGTTTAACCACAAGTTCTAAATAAATAATAAACTTTAAATCATACAGAAGTCAAAATGTTGTCATTTCCATAAGAGAATCTGCACCACTTTCCAAATTTATGGAAAGCATAATTATGGAGGTAGATTTTAGTCCAAAGGTGTTCAATTTTAGTTAAACTTTTAATTTTATTTTTATATGTGTTTGAGTGTGTGTACGTGAAGACTGACACCCAAAGACCAGAAGAATGTTAGATCCTGACCTGAGTGCTGGGAAATGTGCTCAAATCCTCTACAAGAGCAAGAACTCTTAACCACTGGGACCCCAGAATATTTTAATCCATTATTTTGGTTCCTAATTATTTTAGACCCTGATCTAGATTAGCAACATTATATATAACTGAACCACTGTCATTTTCATACAAGCCCAAAGGGGAAGCTAGCAGTATTTGGAGGGACAGCACCACAACCATTAGTAACAGCTGAATTTCTAGGAAAGGATCACGAAAGGTCAGAAGTCTGACAGATGGCCCACCCTGGGTTCAGAATGCATGACGTTAAGAATATACTGACACTTTACCAAATACAGTGCTATTGAGACTTCACTCTCCTGGATAAATGGCCAATTTTCTATCTTGCACAAGATGCTTGTAAAACATTGAAAATGATGTTGCTGAATGGCTCAGTCAGTAACGTATTTACCACAAAAACAGTAAGGCCTGAGTCTGGACCCAACACCTAAGTAAAAGTGAGGCATAATATGCCTGCCTGTCACCCCAGCATAGACAGGCAGACATGGCAGAGCTCTTGGCTTTGCTGTCTAGCAGCCTACCCTGAATCTGTGAACTGTACTTCAGTGAAGGACCATGTCTCTAAATAAAGGGTAGGCAGTGTAACTGAGGAAGAAAACAAACAACCCTTGACCTGCACACAAATGTAAATGTCCACATGAGCACACAAAGCCCCCACATACAGTAAAATCAGTGTTTTGCTCACCAGTTGGAATCGATGTCCAAAGCTTAGCCACTCTTTCTCTACGAGGACCTCAAATCCTCGGATGGTTCGATAGTATCCGTCCAACATGAGCATGGCCAAGGAAGTGAGCTGAGCTGTGCGATCCCAGCCATCACTGCAGTGCACCACCACAGACGTCTTCCCTGACTCCACCTTGTCAGCAATCCTAAGAGCGCCAGCAAGGATGAGCTGGAAACAAGTTGCAAAATGACAGTTCAGAAAAACACTTCCTAAAAGAAACTAATATAGTTGTTACATATAACCACCTCAGTCATAAGGCAAGAAGACACTTCCTAAAAGAAACTTAATAGTTTGTTACATATAACCACCTCAGTCACAAGAAGCATCCATCAACAATCAATAAACAGGAGGCAGGTGCCAAGGCTCATGCCTATAATTCCAGGAGTCTGAGGTGGAGAACTGCTTGGACTTCAGAATGAGAACTTGCCTCAAAACCAGGCAAATAAATGAAGAATCGCATATTCAGTGGGGTGGAGTTTGAGAACCAAGGAGTCTGGAAATGGGCATAATATGGGGAGACTGTTAGAAGTGAAAGACACTACCATCCTGAGCATGGAGAGACAAGATGGAAGAGGAAAACAAGCAGCAGAAGCATGCAGCGCACAGGCTGCAGTCCTGTCAGACCCGTGTGTTTAGCTGCTGGCTCCACCGCTCAGCAGGTCCTGCCTGCTGACTTCAGTTCCAAAAGCCAAGGCACACAAAGGGGCTTTGAGAAAGAGCAGCAAATTCACACCTTAATGTGTTCCAGCCAGTGCGTAGATTCCAAATTAGACAACCAGTGAGTTTCCTCAATGTTGGGGTATACAATCTCCTTAAGCTTCCGTAATGACTCTCGCATAACATGAATATTGTGAATATCCAGAAAAACGAGTTCTGCATTTTGATAGGCATCTTCACTTTCATAACCTCCTCCCTTTGCCTGCAAATGGCACACATCACAGAAAATCCATTACAAAAGGCCATAAAATTTCTAAAATGTATGAAATAGGATGAACACTGCTGAGGATAAGGAAACCCTTGGGAAGCAGGAGGCCAGGACCACTTGGAGTAAACACACACCACCTCACACCATGTCTGAAACGGAGCCTGTTCTAAGCCTATGAGATCAGCACGATAATTTTCCCTAACTCTCTACTTACAAAAACTTCCTTTCAAACTTACTGAAATAGTCAGATCATCAACTCCATATGCACAAACCCTATACTGGACCACTTAAGCTTGTTTTTCTTTTCACATCATTTCACGTTTAAAAATAGAAAAGGGCTGGAGAAATGGCTTAGCCATTAAAGGCTAGGCTCACAACCAAAAATAAAAATAGAAAAACTCATTGTAGCCTTATGACTTCCAAGTTAGTGTTCTATTGCTGTGAAAACACTTGAAGGATTTATTTGGGGATATATACCTCACAGTCACTTCGATAGGGTTCAGGTTCACAGGCAGGCCCCACATTTCTGGAGTATGGGGTTCATCATGGGCAAAGAGCATGGCGAAGGAAAACCATTCACCCACGTCAGCCAGGGTACAGTGAAGAGTAGCAGAGGGACAGAGGGCCATCCCTCAATGGCACACCCCAAGCAGTCTGCTTCCACCAGCTAAGCTCCACCTTCTGTATACTAACCATTCCGAAATCTAAAGTCTGCATCAGAAAGTGTATGGACCCACTGGGCAGGTCAAAGCTTTTATCTTTCAAAACGCCCTCACAGAAACGCTAGCCCTCTTTTCAATCAAACTGACAAGATTAGCTTGTACAGTTTACTTATAAGCAGCTAATTCATTTTAAATTTAACACATAAAACAGAATCCCACTGGCATAAATCTATAAAATAAGAAAATACATGCTTTTCAAAACAAGCTATAGCTGAAAAAGAATCTGATTTTCCCAAGTTTAATATTATACTTTAATGTTTAAAAAAATCCTCCATCTTGCCTAACTCATATATAAAAATCACATTTCTGAGGGCCTTAACTAAAACAAATTGGGAGGATAGTGGAACAACTCCACTAATAAGATCATGACTATGACACCTTTGAATTCAATTCCAAACTAACTTTAAAAATTGGTCAGATTTCTAGTCTATAAAGTAGTTTATATTCAAGATGGCTACAAAAATTAATGTAGTAATTCATGTTAACAAAGATGACTTCTGGAGAGTGAGAATGGTATTGTGGTTTGAACATGTCACCCATGGGTTTATGTACTGTATACTTGGTCCCTAGCTGCTAGTACAATCTGGGGGATTGTGGGGAGATGTTTATAATGTGAGGCCTTAGAAGTTGTCTATCCTAGCATGCCTCAGGGAGTAAGTGGCACACTCTCACAGCGACCCCCGCAGTTATTCTACCCCAGGATATAAAAAGTAACTAACCAGGTAAGACTGAGGATAGAGAAATTTTGTTGCAATGAATCTCAGAAGATGGTAGTGGTAACTACTGGCCTTAGGAGGCCATCACAGAAACAGAAGGAACACACACCACCACAGTGTGGCAGTAGCTACTTTCCAAACCCACGGCAGACAAGGGACAGACCACGAAGGGCTGTGAGTACACTCCCGCGTGGACCCGTTCTTAGGGTAGAGTGAGTTATATCTCCATTAAGTATTTCTTTAAAGGGCAACTAGAGAATAAACAGGAAAATCATTTAAAACTAAACTCTACTGAGTCTCAAAATATCAAGTATAGGGAAGTGTAGGGCAGACTACCAAGAGCCCTAAAGGATGACCACTTGACCGCCATCAGTGAATGGGAGGCAACAGACTATAATAGATACAGGTGACCGCAGACAGAAGACCCTCAAGAAAGTCATAGTTCTTAGTTTTGTTTTAGCTATTTTGCCTTTCTTCTCTAACCTTAGAAGTGTAGCTAACCCAGCCACAGTAGCTAACACCTTTAACCCCAGCACTCACCAGGCAGAGGCAGGCAGATCTCTGCAAGTTCCAAGTTAATCTTGGCTCTCCAGTGAGAGACTACACCAAACTGGGAGGGCCCTTCCATCCTGAAAGCCACATGCTAAGAACTTGAGTAGGTCTAAAAAGGCCAGAACCATAATCTCTACAAATTCCTACCTGAGTAGCCAGTGCCCCTTTCAGTTCTGAGAATTAAGAAGCATTCACCTGATTATTCGAAGACAAAGCATCTCTTTATAAAAAGAATTCAACCAGTATATTTAAAAGTACTACTTTAACCCAAGTTAATCAAAATAACTCAGATTCAGTGGTCAGCAGGGGCCCACAGAACAATGGAACCTAAATCTGAATAAACCTTAGGTTTGTCTCAGAGATTTGGGAACAAAATAAAAACAACTCAAGCTGTTATGCAGTCAGGTGACATGGAAGGAAAAGGTGGACAGGCAAGAGGAGGCCACACACCCAGACTCCTAAGACACTGAACAGAGTATTCCGGAAGAGTCAAAAGTGCAGAGTGCAGAGATGTACACCTGTAGAGCAGCATAAAGATGTGCGGTGAGTGCAAGGCACGAAGGGACTGCCCGAGGGTCCTGGCCACCGCAGCAGTCACAGCAGTGACTCATCAGCTGTGAGAACTGCTCTTCCTCTCCTGCTGCACACTTCACACGTGATGTTCAGGATTTCCAGAGTGACGTGGGGGGGGGGGGGGAGGTGACCACATCAACACTTTGCCCTACCACAGTTGCTGCCTTCTAATCCTTTTCTCCTCCCAGCTGACTAAGTCTGACTCTTGCTTTTATTCAAGGCTTAGAATTTAGGGAGGAAAATCAGCATTGCTAGAGAATACATTTGACTTCCTGGCTACAGGCTTCATTAATGCATCTCATTCTGTAAAATATCAAGAGGGATAGCATAAAGAAAGACAGTTGGCGATGTGCAGCGTGTTAAACAGTGTGATTAAAGTCATGATAAAGCATGTCTGTGGATGATCCTGTGTGATGTTCATAGTACAAATGAAAGTGCTTTTGAAACTGCCTGTGATTTTACACGTTCAAATTATTAAATACTCATTGAATGAAAGAAGTTTTCATTACAAAATCTTTTATGATGAACTTGGTTGTAGTTTTAACCCCAATAAAGGTAATCAGCTTAACTGATAAAAAATGGTAAAACCAAATAACCATGGTTTACAGCTGCAATGACTGAGGATATCATGGTCCTCCCTCAGCTCATCTGCAAAGAATATCTGGGCTTCCAGCGCCCTCATGTCAACTGTGCGGCTGCCGAGTGAGGACTATCCTCCTCCATGAGTTAAGGATGGCCATTCAAGCACCACTCATAATGGGAGGTCAAAAAAAAAATCTATCGTTTGCTGAGATTATTATCAGACATTAAGATGACATTAAAGTTTTCATTGACATAAACTGTGTTAACTTAAAAAAATTATTCCATTTCATTTCAAATATTTATGGACAACTACATAGATCTGGAAGTATAAGCAAAGTTAATGATGTTACAAATTCAGGGGTGTTTTAAAGCATTTTCTTCACTTAGCTAAGCACATTAACTGAATTTTCTACAGCACGTATGAAATACAGTCCTGGAAAGTCAGCATCATCACCTCAGGATAGTCTGACTTCTCTTGGCCTCCACAGGGTCTGACCAAAGGCTACAGCACAGACAAGGTGAGCCAGCAACAACAACAACAATAAAAACTCACCTTATTGGCAACAGCATTGACACTTGGCCGAGCATCAAATATAAATATTTTGTGCGACTGGGCGTTGGAGTCCATGATGGCCTGAAGGTATTTTTCGTCCTCTCTGCTGCGCTTCCCGCTCACCCCCACCATGGGTTGGCTGCAGCGAGTGACTGTGGCTTGACTTTCAGGATGAATCCAGGATAAAACCTTAATGAAAGGGACACGATGACACTGCTTCCCTGACAGTGAGGCTCCTAGTGAGCAGACCGCGAGCCGGATAGCTGAGGGGCCCTCAGGATGCCAGGAAAACATGTCACCCTTCTTATAGCCAACTGGTACAGAATTGCCTACTTCTTAATCAGATACTGCTGTAAAACTCATTGTTGAGAAATCTTATTTTAGAAAAAAGTACATAAAAACAGAGCTAAACATATCAGTAAAATTGTAAAATACTCAGATTCTACACTTTTCTCCTAATATTATTTCATCTGCTCTACTGAGATACAGTCAGTTACACATCATCTATTTGTAAAGTTTCCTACTTTCTTGGGGAAAAAAAAAACATTTATTGTCATGACTAAAAAAATATATATGTGATACAGATTGGTAATCAATGCACAGGGCAATTTTTTTTTTTTTTTTTTAGTTAGGAGCTAGGCAACTCTGTTTTAACTTACAATTTAACTCAGTCTCTGATATTCTCATATAAAAGCTATGACCATTATCTTCCTGTACTGAAATGGACCTACAGAGTCTCATCAAGGCGCACGGCCTACTTACTGGGATTCGACCCCGTGACCTGAAAGATGCCACTCTCTTTAGCTCCTCATCAGGAATGTTTGCTGGCACAACCAAGAGGGCAGGATATGTGTCACAAACTTCATAGCGTTCATTTATCTTTGTTATTCTCCAGCTTTCGTTTGGAATCCCCTAAATGACACATAACACAAGACAAACTGTCAGCTAAAATAGAAGACACACCAGGACAGTAGTCAACCTCACCTCTCTCCAGTTCTCATCTTAAGACTGCTCAAATGGTCATGGCCAGGCTTTTAGGAAGACACATATTTTAAGGGGGGAGAGTGTCTGCATTTGGGGCAGGGATCAGATAAAATGTTTAGTAGTACTATCAGAGGGCATGAGCCTGTGCTATGCATACTTGGGGAGGGAGAGAGAACAGAAAGAAGGCAGTGTCCTGCTCTCCCCAGCGCCCTCAGGTGGTGACGAGATGACTGACTGCTGGGGTAGATAGACAGGTGCACATCCTCTAGACCTGTCAGGAAATGTTTCTATTTCACTTCCAATTCTGCAGGATATATATAATGACTGGCAAATTTAGTTAGCACATTTCATTGTACAACCTGCCAGTCAAACTTTTGCCTTCAAAGACAGTAATACAAAGAAATCAGCTACTATTATTGGTGGGGAGTGAGCACAGGGAAGGGCAAAGTTAGGGACCACAGCTCACCCACTGAGGCCAGAGGACAGTTGACTGAAGCTGGTTCTCTGCTTCCATCCTGATGTGAATCTGGGGGACTAAACTCAGGTCTCCAAGCTGTGTGCTTAAAGCCATCTCACCAGCTAAGAGTAATTCTTTCTTCCAGTTACTTTTGAGACTCTGTGGGTCTGGTGTTCTAGAGTGACCCTGTGTCTGTGTGAACGTCTTTACAGGCATCACTCACAGATTGGATCTTTCATTAGTCTGACTGACTAATCCTAACTTACCTACTGAAATAAGATTCTGCGAACTCAAATCCTAACTTTCACATTAATAACTATTTGAGCACTGACAGATCACTTAATGTTCCTATGCCCCAATTTACTTGTGCAATGAAGATAATATTTAGTACTTTTACACCATGTGCTTAAGTACCACATGGTTTAGTAAATAAAACCAGTATACAAACATTTGTTAGTTAACACAGAGAGCACACACTGTAAGCAAATTCCTTCCTTAGCCTTCATGCATTCAATCATCCAACAGTCACTTGTCTATGACATGTCAGGCATTGCTACATTCTGATAACTTAGCAGTGAGAAAACTGGTCAGTACCTTCCCTATTGGAGCACAAGCAATAACAATACCAAAGAAACAACAGATGACTGCTCCAAAAAGCAGAGGAAACAGATCCAGTAAAGAAAAACAGACGGGACACATATGGCCTTAATAAATACTCATCAAGTTTAAATGAATCAAAGATGAGTAGAAAATATCTGAAAAGCTATCAACAGAAATTAAACTTTGATCAAATGAAAAAGGGAGATATATAGCTCAGTAACAAATTATTTGCCTAGCACATGTGAGGCCATGAACCAATCCCTATTGCACAACAAGCATGCAAGCAAATATGAACAGACACAACACACACACATACACACACAGTTAAAATGTATGGACATTGACCAATCTCTCTCTCTCTCTCTCTCTCTCTCTCTCTCTCTCTCTCTCTCTCTCTCACACACACACACACACACACACACACACACACACTCTAAATTTAAAATGTTTTGGCACTGACCAAACACACACACACACACGCACGCACGCACGCACACACGCGGACACTGACCAAACATACTTGTATACAATGCATGACTACTGACCAAACACACATACACACACACACACTGAAGTTAAAATATATGGGCACTGATCAAACTAGGTCAATACTGCCATTAGCCTAAGGGAAAGTGTTACTCAATTGTCTGTAAAGAGTAAAGCCTAGAATCTTGCAGAGCTAAATTAGAAGCAGTACAATTAACGTTTTTCATAATTAAATTATAGGATGCCTAAGAAGAAAAAAACTGAGTGAATAATATTAAGGCATATAAGAACATTAAATTTTCTACATACTGATCCCATTTTCATCTTTATACTGAGCAAACATTTTTTAAAACAAAGTGATACTTAAAACTCCTAGGAAAGTAAAGATTCATAGATCACTAGTGTATTCTGGGAAGCAACTCAAAGGAAAGGGAAAGAAGCCAAGCAGACCAGGGCCAGCCTTCACTTACACCAAAAAGAGACGGTGAAAGAACATCTTACTTCGACCTACTGCTTGTAATGAAAATAATATAGAACACAAAAGCTGGAATACAAAAGCACGTACCTGCCTTCTATACTCTAGAAGGGGGTCATACAGTTTCCACCCATTTTCAGGAAATACTTCTTTATACTCAAAAGCAAAAAGAGGCTACAAAATAAACAGTTAACAGCTTTAAAGAGACATTTAAAAAAGTAATCAGAAATATGTCCTTAAAAGGTTATAATTATTTGTTTTATTTACTTATCTGCAAGAGTATTTAACATTGCCCCTTTTTAAATAGTTGGAGTGTTAGGATTAAAATTGTTTACAATACTAAATATTTTTATATGCTTTAAAAAGTACAGAAATGCTGAAAGACCCGCTCATGAAATTTACTAAATGCTGATCTATTTCCTTTAAATATCTTGGTAGTTTTTGTAGGTTTAATTCTAAGTAATAAACAGCATCTCAAACAACGCACTGTCCAACAGAAGTGACTGATCCAACAGCAGGCAGCCGCAGCTGAGTGATTCTATGTTCTAATACACTAAGGGACTTTTTCACACTTTAGCATGCAAGCACTTTAAATATGTAACTAGAACAAACTATGGTGTTTAAGAAATAAATTGCAACTAAAGTGAGAAATCTAGTTGTTAACCCCAATACTGGAATAACAGAGTCCTTGTCTTACCTATCCTGGCTCTCATATGAGAAGGCGGCCATGAGGTGAAATTCTCTCACACAGATGAGGGAATCTAGCACTGTCACAATACTGTTGGACTATATCTGCCCCAAATTCATTAGCTTCAAACCCTAATGAAGACTACATAAAGCTTTTAATCACAGAAACATCCTAAAAAAAAAATATTATATAAGCTGATGTGCTGGTTTGAAAGAAAATGGGCTCCAAAGGAAGTGGCACTATTAGGAGGTGTGGCCTTGTTGGAGGAAGTGTGTCACTGCAGAGGCAGTCCTTGAGGTCTCATATATGCTCAAGTCACACCCAGCTCCACAGACCACTTCCTGTAGCCTGTGAGTAAAGAGGTAAGAACTTTTAGCTCCTTCTCTAAGAGCATGTCTGCCTGCATGCTGTTTAGCTTCCTGCTAAAACGATAATGGACTGAACATCTAAAACTGTAAGCTACCAGAATGAAATGTTTTCCTTTATAAGAGTTGTGCAGTCATGGAGTCTCTTGACAGCAACAGAAACCCTAACAAGACAGCTGACATGGTGGCACAGGCCTCCTGGACTTGAGGCAAGGAGTACCCAGCCTGTGCAACTTCACAACCTGTCTCAAATAAAGACACATAAATAAACAAAACCACTCTGTGGTATCACACTTGCTTAGCATGTGCAAAGCCCTGGGTTTAATCCCCAGTTTTCCCCTCCCCTCAAAACAACATAATTATAGGATGTTGTTACTGAAATAGAGAGGCTAAGTGCCAAAGCAGGAACACAAAGGGGAGGAAATGGACAACCTAGTTGAGTTTGTTCACATTAATAATTACAATACAGATCAGAAAAAAACAATTACCAAGCCATTAGATACAGGAAATGCATATTTCATTAGATTCTCAAATATGGATCTTCTTGTTCGCCCCTCTGGTTTATGAGCAAATCGTAAATTCCTGATATCCTAGAAAAGATACAGTATCCAATTAAATCACTGTGTTCCTTTTTAATAAGCAAATAAGATTACTTGGAAATGTTGGGTAAAGGAGAAGCTCTACATATAAGATGCACTGTTTCACTGAGAAGACAAGAGACACAAAGTACTCGACTACATGGCAGAGTCTAGACCTGTGCTCCTAGGCTCGACAGGGCCAAAGGGGAAGTAAATGGTGTGAGTTCTGATGAGTACACACTACCAACATCTGTCCTGTCCTAGGCAAGAGAGATGGCTCAGTAGATAAGATGTTTGCCCCACAAGCACCTCAGTTCAATTCCCAGAACCTGAGTTTTAAAAATAAAAACCACTATCAGCTCTTATTACATTTCCATCACGTGTGGAGACCATTTTCTTATTTGTTACTGTTTCCCAGGGCTCACTTTATGTCTCCTCTGCTAGGCAGACAGGACCAAACTGCCTGAACTACTACTTCCACTTCAGGGACATTCTTAATAGCCAGCTCTACACTTGGATCTCAGGGACTCTTTCTGCACGTGTGCTCAGCTATTTCCCAGGCTCATGCAGAATGGCACTAGTAGTCTAGTTTACGCTCTCTCATAGCATTTATTAAAAATTTTGAGATTTAAAATGATTCAGAAGTATTCTTTTTTTTTAATTTATTTATTATATACATACTCGCCAGGAGATGGTGCCAGATCTCATTAGAGATGGTTGTGAGCCACCATGTGGTTGCTGGGAATTGAACTCAGGACCTCTGTAAGAGCAGCCAAGTGCTCTTAACCTCTGAGCCATCTCTCCAGCCCCCAAGAAGTATTCATTTTTATTTAAGTATTTTAACCTAGGCAGAAGTTGAATTTACTATGTTACAGTCTCATTACCATTGAGATCAGGTTGTGTCCTATTCCATGCTATCCCATATTATACAATATACAATTATACAATATGGGATAGTAATATATTAATAATAAAATAGTTTTGTTTGTTTTTAATCCTGAGCTTTTCCCTAAAGACTCCATTTTACAAACAATTTCAGACTCCATTAAGAGGAAGATGACTGCAACCCCCAAGAGGACTCAGAAACAGCAGCCACCCAATACAGACTGACAGAAGATTTACTCCCGAGAAAAAGAGAGCTACCCTGTAAGTTTACCGGGGTGGATCGAGGCTGTAAGGGCATACTATATAAGGGTATATTAACATCCTATTAGGGAAACCAAGGCCAAGAACTTAGCAGACACAGCAGACTATGAAAAAGATACAGTTCCCTCACTTGGACCCCATGGCTTCCACATCACCTGAAACCTGGTGTGACAAGAACTGAGAAGTCCCCAACTGTTCCTGGAGCTCTGGCTGGGCTAACCTACTCTAATTCCTGACTGCCTGTGTGCTCTCCAATCTGAATCTAACTGTGCATTCCTTGCTTCAGACCCACTTCCTGCCCTGGCTGGCCTCCATCCCAGTGGCAGCTTGTTCCCTCCAGCACTGGTCTCCTTATGGACACAGACTCTCTGTCTACTTCTGAAACCTCCTGAATTCCACCACAGCCTCTTTAGCATGTGTTCATTCTATAACGCACATATATGCCAAACAATATATAGAAACATTTACTGTGTGACCTGAGAGTTCATTTCCGCAATTAAGACTGGCTAGGCTACAAGGGTAGTTAGGACTGTAAGGCACACTGACGCCAAAATCTGCAAATGTGAATTTGCTGCTATTCAACAATTCTGACATCAGAAAGACACAAAAGTGCCCATCTGTTCCTGGCACAGCACACACCAAATAATTATGAAATACCATGAAGAGACACTACACAGTGTGCTTTCAATACAAATAAAATAGCTTACTGCAAATCTGAGCCAAACCATTCTGAGAAAATACATGTGTACACTGAAGTTGAGAACTTATGTCTTCCAGTAAACTCTTTGACTAGTAAAGGTTATCCTCTCTCCAGCAGAGACCCAACTGTAATATTATAGGCCCACAGAAAAACATTTCTAAAACACTAAGATCTCCAAGTCAGCCTCTTTCACACGGTTTACTGCTGAAGAGAAATGACAAGAACAACGCCCTGTGCAAACAGACGACAGCAGTACACTCCTGGAGCTCTTCTGACACCCAGGAAGAAAATGCCAGTCACTGAGTCACTAATTTTAACATCAGATTCAGCAAACTTCTAAGATGAACATACACAAGCGTTCTGGACGATACACACACTGTTTCTCTTACTTAGGGCACCGAGAGAACAAGACATAAGTGATGTGGTCTGAAACTGGGATATGGACAAGCCAGGTAGTGCTGGCGCACGCCTGGCAGGCAGATCTCCGAGTTTGAGGCCAGCCTGGTCTAAAGAGCAAGTTCCAGGACAGTTGAAGCTATACAGAGATATGTTTGTTTTTCCCTGTCTCAGGAAAACAAAGCAAAGCAAAAACCAAAATGAATGAATGAATGAATGAATGAATGAGGTGGGCACTGGTGATGATTAGGTCCTGGTATTAAGTGCCATGTTCATGATACCAGTTTCCGAGTATAGGTTCTGTTTAATAGTTTTACAAAGCAAATACAACCACACCAGTAACTGTAGCATTTACCTTGCACACAGTCTCCAGGCCATAAGAGTTTTCACCTCGGCTAGATGCACCACCAATTTTTTCTACTCTACTTATCACTCCAAGAGAAGCATCTAGAACAAAAGGGGGGTCCTACAAGATGAAAAGAAAACACACAATTTCTAAAAAACTGTAAAGTGCTTGAATAACAGGAACAGAACAGGACACTGGGTTCAATCAATCTCCAACACTCATCACCCAAAAAATGTTCAAAATCTTAACCAGAAATTTGTGAATCAAGAATCACCCACAAATGAACTGGGCGTGGAGGGCACACCTTTAGTCCCAGCACTTGTAGACTGAGGAGGCAGATCTTTCAAGACAGCCTGGTCTACATAGGATAGCTATGATTACATAGTTAAGACTTTGTCTCAATAATAAAAATTAATCACAACTGAGCAAACTCACCCCAAATAACATGCAAATGTACAGGCAAAAGCCAACCCCAGGAAGCCTCACCCGTTCCATGCTCTTAAAATATAATCTGTAATTTGTGACAGTCAGCGTTCCTCGTACGGCACCAGTGAAGGGACATATGTAAGTCACATCTTTGGCTGAAAAGACAAAATAGCCATAGTTTACTTGATGCCAGGTGCTATTAAAAACAGCTTGTACATTTTATAAAATCAATTTTAATTCTTATCTAATTATGACAAAATAAATTACACAATGAATAATTTAAAAAAACCTCCTGAAGCCTAATCCATGCTTCCAGCTTTGCCTTAATCCAAGAATTGTAGAATAAACAGAAAGGCAGAAGGGGCCTCTCCTGATACAGCACAAGTAGGAGCAAAGATTGCTTGCTGTCCCTACTGAATAAAGCAAGCCACAGGCTGGAGTGGCAGGGAGACTGTCAATGTATGAACACAGAGACAACACTCACCTCCCAGCTTCTAGGCCACTTGCACCTACCACTTTGTCTTCTGAGCCAGAGTTCAGTCTGCACTAATTGTCTTAAAAACAATGACCACAATATACACACGAGAAAGTTCTGAGCTGACTACACGCCTGAGGCATTAAAAGACTGTAGCAAAGGAACATTTCTTTGCATGTTATTTTTATGTGTTGCAAGAGCACTGTGTGTGTGCCAGACGGAAGCCCGGGCGGTACTGGGAATCAAATCCAGTCTTCCACCAGAGCAGCAAGTGCTCAAAGCCACCGAGTCAGCTCTCCAGCCAATTTGGAATAAAATATTTTAAAAAGAAAATAGTATATTCCTGACCAAGTAACTGACATCAAATTTTAGAAATAAACATAATCAATGTTTATTACATGCTAAATGATGGTGCTCTATGACATTATAGTTCTAAAAACATGTACCACATGATTAAACATGGTAAGCGCAACCACTAGCTCAAAAGCTATTCACCATGGCAGACTTTATAATGCCCAGTACAGGGATTTTCTTTTAATCTTGAAATATTAAAGATTCTCTTCATGCCACTATTAGAGCAAAACATCAGACTATCACCCCAAGAAAATGCAGGACAATTCTGCAGAACCAAAACCTTCTACAAGCCTCCCCAGGGTGCTCTGGGGGCAACAAGGACCTACACAATCTGTAAGACACTGAAGCTTCCTGACTTGCTCCATATTAGTCCATTTGAGAGGCTGACCACTTTACATGGGATCTGAAATGAGACCAGTCTTTCAGCAACTGTCTCTAAACTTCTAATCAGCTCCACCAGAAGTGTCAGCTATATTTTCTTAATCAATTTCCAACGCATGTTTCATTATAGGGAAACTTTTAAAATCATATAAACCCACCACTACATAAAGATAGATTTTGTAACCTAAAAAAGCTTTATTAGTGCCAATGAAATGGTTCCGGATGCCATCAGAGCCCGTTTCCTACGCAGGAAAAGCAGTCAGAATTCTTCTCCTACAGTCACCACTGATGCCCTTCTTGTGATAAGGAGAGAAGATGCATGTGTGTGTTCCCAAAGTTGTTAGGACTGTGCAAACACAGAGGTCTACAGCAATGCCACATTGCCAACACCAGTCTACACTGTTCTACATGCTCTCTCACTACAGGTACTGAGAGATAGTTTTAGCAGGTTCACACCAGGGAGGAAGGAGACTCTGACTAGCACCCTAAACAGAGTAAAGGGCAGAACCAGCCAGCGATGGTCCACAGAACTTAAAGGGTAGAAGCACTCTGGTTTGGATCCAGTTCTGACATGTCAGGATGCCTCTTCACAAAGCTGACCCAGTAACAGCACTGTTGCTCAGCGTCTGACCCCTACATTAAAGGCTAAATAACTGAAGCGTGGGAATACCAGACCATAATACTCTGAGACTGTTAATCCCTACAGTATTCACTTAATGCTTCTACTACCATTTTTACTTTTTATTGCATTTATTTGTATGTGTATATGGATATGTTTATGCCATGGCCACAGCATGTATGTAGAGGTCAGAGAACAGGCTGCAGAAGTATGAACTCTCCTTCTACCATGTGGTTGGCAAGGACTGAAGTCATGTTGTCAGTTTTTGCAGCAAGGATCTTTACCCACTGAGCCCCCTCACCAGTCCCCAATTTTACTAAAGAAAGCACCGAGACCAAAGATTTATATTAAGTCAATGTAAAATCCAAGGTGTTTTAATATGAAGACATGCACATTTGTCAACCTTTTGACTTTTTTAAAGTAAATTTATGTTTTGAATAACTGTGTGAAGATGATTCTAAACATTTTTATGTTATGTTAGGTATTCTTTAAATTTGACAACAATGATGCTGCCAACTGGTACTGAGGTACCCTGGATCTCCTTATCTTAGTTAGAGACCAAGGGAAGACTTCCTAATAGATACTTTAAAAGATCCAGCACGAAGAAGGTAATGAGCCTGTTTAAATCACACAGAAAAAAGCAAGGCATGGTGGCGTAAGTCTTTAATGCTAGCACTAAGGAGGCAAAGGCAGGCAGATCTCCATGAATTTGAGGCTGGCCTAGTCTACATAGTGAATTCCCCTAGGACAGCCATGTAGAAAGACCATGTTTAAAAACAAAGAAACAAACAAACATAATCCAAGAAGTAATGCTGAGAAGGACGACAAGTCCACTCAGCCCCAGGGTCAGAGAAGCACTCAAGCAGCACAGACATGCAGACATAAGAGTCTTTGCAGTGGCAAGCAGAGGGATGGGGTGGGAGTTAACAAAGCAGCACTCATGCAGCAGGAGACCCTGGCAGCCAGCCTTGCACAAAGCACAGAGCATACTCAAGTGAAGGCTCCCCAGGGTGTTCTACACCATACCTCTGCCCAGCTCTCCTCTCACGGAACCATGTGTCAGTGCTCATCAAAGCTCTCTGCACATAGCTTTCAACTCCATCAACCCCTCCCTCTTTTCAGCAGACATCATGTGCTAATGACTCACGTCCAGACCTCTTTATCATTATCCACTACTCCACGTCAACTCGGTCTCAGGGACCTGCTTCCGTACACTCTAACTCTACGTGTGGTAACCAAGAGGACAATTCAGGGAAAAGAGCAGAAGCAGAGACAGCAGTCCCCGAGGGTGAGATAAAAAATGAGGCTGAGGCTAACATTTGGAATAGGGAGGGATGCCCGGGACAGCTGAGCCTGGTTCAGACAGAAGCAGAGGCACTTGTTCACTTAAAGAAGGGTGGTGGCTCAGGTTGGAACACTTATTTTTGTAGTCATTAACCCATATATGTGGGTAAATCTACTAAGTGAATATAACCAACTGAAAAGAAGGAAATCCATAGTGGATGAAGTCCCAGGGCATGCTGATAGTAAAAGATTTTCTTGTTAAGACCACACACTTTAGTGGAAGTAGTAGCAGCACTGGGCTCAACTGGGTGAGCTGTGGTTTTATTAGCTAGGAAGGCCCCTGTGCTGAGGCAGCTAATGTCTTTCCCACAATATTATTCTAAGAATCACTATGATTACTACTCTCATTACTTAGCATCCCATGAGATATATGTAAACTCAATAGTAGATCACCAGATCAAGCTTAGTCATAGACATGGCTGAGAGGAACAAAGATGGAGGAAGTTAGTGTCAAAATCCTAAGGGCAGGCAATGCTAAGAAGCAAAGCTGGCAGTTACCACCAGTCCCTCTGAGGGCACGTCCTAGCTCTGGCATGCCTGTTTTACACTAGAAGTGACACTCAGAGAAAAAAGAGTATGACTGATCATATATGAGAGACGGTGCTTACTTTAGAAAAGAGAGTGCTTTCTTCACCCTCCTAATGTTCTACTCCTCAAAATCTAGGAATATTTTTGTGAGCTAGCATTAACAAAACAAGAGCACAAAAGTACAGTTTTTCTGCTCATTCCCACTGTAGAATCTAAATTATGAGCACTGCACTGGGCAGCAGACCATTTCCAAACACAACACCTGTTCTGCAATGGACATGAAAGACTTCATTCAAAAATTAACCTGAGTTTATCCAAGGAAGAAAATTATAAAAAGTAGCAAATGAGAGGCTGCACTTTAATAAAAATTGCTTGTTCAATGTGTTTAGCTAGACAACCCAGTATCTGAATGGAGTAATTCAAAATAACTAAACTTTTCTTCACAGAATTTAGCAACAATCTAAAAAGAATAACATAAATTTGCCTATTTCTGAATAGTCAGACAGGAACACTCCCAACAACTTTGATCTGGATTTGCAGCACACAGGCTGGGAGCCACAGGGGAGTGAGCAGCTGTGCACAGTCAAAAGAGACAATTTAAAAATACCATTACAGACCCATGTCCTTAATGTTTTCTCCTGGAAGCAGGCTTGGTTCCTCCATTTCTGCTAATTTGTTTGACTCCCTCAGGACCTAGACGGGGGTGTGCAAGAAGGAAACAGTTTTTATTCAAAGGCTATTTTCATTCAAATTTCATTCAGGCTGTTTGCTTTTATTTGAAGTTATAATCTTATTGCGTTACTTTAAATCAAATTATAAAAACTGTAATAATGCCACATACAATATGAATCTGTTATTTTTCTAAAAGTATTTCCTGATTGCCTAAGAATCATAAGATCTTACATTCATATCAAAAACTGCTTATTTTCACAATAAATCCTAAAAACACCATAAAAATAAAGCAAGTTTTGTATCCCCATTTCATAGGTGAGGAAATATAGGTCCAAAAGGCAGTTAACTTATTCAAAGTCACAAAGCTAAAACAACAGTCTAGGTTCCATAAAAACAGTAGGGAAGTCCAAAGCCCACTCCCCTTCCAAATGAATCATGCCAAGGGTGCAGAGTGCATTTACAATGGACAAAGTCAGATCCTTGTGTACATTTATTATTTACAGAATTTTTAAGTCATACTGATAAATAGCCCGTGCTGGCTGGTTTTGTGTCACTAGAGAGGAAGGAGCCTTGGTTGAGAAAATGCCTCCATGAAATCCGGCTGTAAAGTGTTTTCTCAAATTAGTGATCAATGGGGGAGGGTCCAGCCCACTGTGGGCTGGTGGTGCTCAGAAAGCAAGCTGAGTAAGCCAGGGGAGCAAGCCAGGAAGTAGCACCACTCCATGACCTCTTCATCAGCTCCTGCCTCCAGGTTCCTGCCAAGTCTGAGTTTCTGTCCTGATTTCCTCAACAATTAAGAGCAATGTGGAAGTGTAAGCTAAATAAACCCTTTTCTTCCCAACTTATTAGAAAAAAAGTATTAAATTAAATCCTGATCCAGAGAAATATGCTCTACTTTCCCAAGAAACAGACACAGAATCACGGTCATACTGTCGTGTCAGATGACCCCTAAATATTTGCTGAACATGAGTGCCACTGCCGCCCTCTTGGCCAGAGATGCTATTTTCTACAGTGGTCAGTAATGAATGCTGAGAATAAGTTACTATTGAGTGCTTGGCCCTAAATCTGTATCCCCACTCTGCCAGTCATGCATCCCCCAATCCCCCACAGACACACATAGGGTGGGGGAGAGAGAGAGAGCACTCAGGGAACACCTCAGAAGAAGGGGCAGAAACAATGCAAGAGCCAAAGGATGGAAAGGAAAACTCTGGAGAGCGTTTTTGGATATGTGGTGGCCATTACACTGGTAAACACACTGCAGCTATGGGTACCTGTGTAAGAAGAAGCCACCAGAGCGAGTGAGGGGAAGGTAGAGGAGGGAACAGGAAGTGAGGGGGACAGCTGACTAGGTGGTAGGGGCAATTGCAGCAGGTAGTTAAGAGCAGATATAACCAAGATCCATTGTTTACATAGCAAAGAATAAATCAAAGATAAAAAGAAATCAGGAGCCTCTGAAAAATTAGATTATGGTGCTACAACCAGGGAACAGTATAGAAGAGCACCTCACAACGCAAAAAGTAAACTTTTAAACATCACCAAGGGTGTGGGACCTTACCAAAATATCTTCCCAGTGGCAGCTTCCACAGTGAGAGCACTGGTCACTGTAAGGTGTACACTAATATTAAGACCCATAATGAAGTAAATGACCAGGTAACTAACTCAAAAAAGGAGGGCAGAGAAATACATCTCCCATAAATAATACCAAAAACACTACATAGATGTTTTTCCCTGGGTCAGGTCTCAATGATGGGCTTGTTTGGTTGGAAGCATCACCTCAGCCCCTAACATCCTTATCCAAAAAGTCTGCGATATTTGGTTAAAAGTGTCACCCTAGCCCCGATACCCCTTTATCCAAGGAGTCTGCCATGTGTAGTTGGAAGCTCCACACCAAGCCCACCTCCCCTGGGAGTTGCTGCAGTCCAGACTCTACCTCTGAAAAAAACCTGCCAAATGGTGACCCCTCCTCCCCAGAGAGGGTCAAGACCACTTCCACAGGCTATTTAAACTGCCTCTCAGAGAACCAACATTGGTCATCTGGTTCTCCTTTCCGCTCTCCATGGTTTCCAAGTCTTCTTCCCCGGGGGAGCCTGAGGGCCACTGGAAGCACTGGCATCCATCAAACCTGGGATTTTTCTTATTCAGTTTGATTTGGTCTGACTTGGATTATTGCGTCAGTGGGGAGGTTTGTTGGGCCACTTGTTAGGCTGCAAAAAAAACTTTACAGGGTTGTATGCAACAACTTCTTTCCGAAGACTAGGTATAAGGAGGCAGTACTATACATGGAATAAACTCAGCACCTCAATCAGTACGGTGCACATGGTGGTGATGAACGAGGTGACAGGACAGAACCCTGTCAAGGCTGAGGAGACAGCACTTCATCTCTGAGGCCTTTCCAAGACCTGGAACCCCAGTTTAACAATAATTAAAATGGTATGTATTCTAGAGAACATCTGGTCACTTTTGCAAACAAAGTCTTTGAACTTGGACAGTGTTGGGATGCCTGAGAAACACAAAGGTCAAATGATCTGGGTAAGAGAGGACACTGGGTTAAACTAAGGAGATCGGAATCAAAGGCTACCTTAGTAACCAGAATAAGTATTGGTCCACTATATGCGACACACACCATACTAATAACATAAGACATTAACAACACGAGACACCATATGTGACCTATGAGGGGTAGCAGTGTGCAGTTTTTCTTCAACTCTAAACTGATCTAAAATTAAGTTGACCTAATAAGACTAACAAATATTTTATATACAAATAAACACTCTGATCCTCATTATGCCCAAGCTTGAGCCAACCACTTATTACTTAAAGTATATATAGAATCCTAAGAAAATGAAAGAAGTCTTTCCGCCAAGTGGTTCTCAGCCTTCCTAATGCAGAAACCCTTTAATACAATTCCTCATGTTGTGGTGACCCCAACCAGAACATTAGTTTGTTGTTGCTTCATAACTGAAATTTTGCTACTGTTAAGAATCATAAATATCTTTGAGAGTATTGTCCCAGTAGTAGAGAACCACTGCTTTATGTAAAGATGGTGACAATAGAGGCAAATTTTATTTTTAACTGAAAAGATTACATTTCCAACCAATTCTGTTTTTAATTAGTAAGATCTGACAAGTAGATCAAAACAGTTCAAAATCAAGCTTCTGCCCTATTTTACTTTTTAAAGTACTTTTTAAAGTAATTTATTAATCCAACAACAGACAAAAATAGCTAAAAGCACATATCTATCAGTGTTAGTAAGAACAACAACAGCACACTACTTAGCACCAAGCCTGCACCATTCCCTCCAGTCAACAGAGCAGGAAGCCACTGTCATTAGCAAGGCACTCACAGACCTTGAAGACAACCCTTGGAGCTGGAGAAATGCCTCTAATCGAATGTTTCATGAAGTTTCACAAAAATAATGACAAATATTTTAGAACCTTTATAGATACTCCTAAACTATCTTCATGTATTTATTTAAATGAAAATGATAGTATTCTCAATAAATATTCAACAGCAAAGAACTTCCCTGCTGAAGACATTTATATTCTCCACCATGAGGAAAAATTAGTAAATTCACTGTGGTTAAACTTTAAAATGGAACTGTTTTCTGGAAGTACTTAAGAAATCACTGTGGAAATAGTGATTGTTTTTTGTTATCTATTAAGCTGCTCTTCTGAAGAAGCTAAAGCAGATTCCAGTCCAGACACCGAAGAAGCAGGATGTGACCTGCCCCACTGAAAAAGCTACTGAGCCATGTGGCTAACATGTACTAAATAATGGGCTAATATAAGTTATAAGAGCTAATACAAAGCCTGAGCTAATGGGCGAATCAGTTTATATAGAAAAAAAGCTAAAGCAGCTATTGTGGTGCCACTTTAGTCAGGACAATCCTGGCATACCTGGAGCATCTTGCACTATTGGGTACTGCACACAATACACAATAAAAACTAAGGTGTGATATTTCCTTCATGAAACACACAGATTAGATCAGGGCTTTAGTATGAGGAACTTGTTTTACCCAAATAACAACTTTAGTGTAATAATCAATAAATGTGCTTTTGTACAGCTGTACAGGGTTCAGCTCATAGAAACTGTTCCTCCCTGCTGCCAGAGAGCCATCACACTAGTGCTTAAGTAACTATAAAATTGGACTCAACAGGACAAAACAGCGATGTGGTGGCTAATCTTGGTGTCAACTTGACTATATCTGGAATCAGTTAAAACCCAAGCATCTGGGCACTCCTGTGAACGATTTTCTTGATTAGATCATTGGAAGTGAGAAGATCAGCATTATATCTAAGTCACACCTTCTGGTGGCAGCCCATATAAAAAGACATAGAAGAAGGACATTTTTGTGTTTTGCCTGCTTGCCCTCACTCTTGCTGGTAAAGTTAATCTATTCTGTTGCTGAGGCATTCTTTCACTGTTGTTAGAATCTACTTCTAGAGCGTAACTAAAGACCAGGAGCTCTCTACAAATTCTCTGGGATTCCAGAACCAGACTGGGACTGCACATGTTGATAAGAAGTTTCTGTCCCACCAGGTCCCGCAGCAGTTAAGTCCTAAAGAAACGCATAGAGGCCTACATTAATTATAAACTGGTTGGCCCATTAGCTCAGGCTTCTTATTAACTAACTCTTCCATGTTAAATTAACCCATAGTTCTTGTTTGTGTTAGTCACGTGTGTCAGTACCTTTTATCAGTGAAGCATTCTTTCTCATCTTGCTTCCTCTGTGTCTGGGTGATGACTACAGACTGAGCCTTTCCTCTTCCCAGAATTCTCCTATTCTGGTCACCCCACCTATCCTTCCTGCCTGGCTACTGACTAATCAGCATTTTATTAAACCAAAAAAAAGTGACAAATCTTTACAGTGTATAAGACCACTGTCTCACATTACAAACAAACTACTAGTTTTCTGGTCTTTCCATCAGTAGACAGCCTTCATTGGACTACTCACATCATACCTGCAAGACACTCTAATAAATCTCCTTTACACACATATTTTTCATTCTATCAGTTCTGTACCTTTAGAGAACGTTGACTAATGCAACTGGCAATACAACTGATGAGCTATGATATTAGCTATGCGTTCCTAGACAAATTACTTAATCTGAGGTACTATGGAGACATGAGAGAACATCACAAGTATTACAAGAGATGATGTAAATTCAGCACTTAGAGCAACTGGTGGCTTATGGTAAGTTCTCAGTGCATGATAGCTATTACTCCCTCTTAATATGGAAGCTATCAGGAAAAGAATACCACAAAAAATTTAAACAAGATATTTACAAGTATTAACTTATGGAAAGAAACATAAATTTTTAAAATAGTAAGTAAGCATTCAAACTTGCCAGTCTGGTCTGGAATAAAGGGGAGCACGGAACCACAATTCTTAGTTAAGGGAGCCACTTTAGGGTGGGCAAGAGACTTGACCCTAGAGGGGTTCCCAGGTGCCCAAGCTGAGGTCCCCAGTTAGTTCCTTGGGCAGCTGAGGATAGGGAACCTGAAATGACCCTATCCTAGAGCAATACTGACGAATATCTTGCATATCATCATAGAATCTTCATCTGGTGATGGATAGAGATAGAGACAGAGACCCACACAGGAGCACTGGACTGAGCTCCCAAGGTCCCAATGAGGAGCAGAAGGAGGGAGAACATGAGCAAAGAAGTCGGGACCACGAGGCGTGCACCCACCCACTGAGACAGTGGAGCTGATCTACGGGGAGCTCACCAAAGCCAGCTGGACTGTGACCGAAAAAGCATGGGATAAAACCGGACTCTCTGAACATGGCGAACAATGAGGGCTGATGAGAACCCAAGGACAATGGCACTAGGTTTTGATCCTAATACATGAACTGGCTCTGTGGGAGCCTAGCCTGTTTGGATGCTCACCTTCCTAGATATGGACGGAGGGGGGAGGACCTAGGACTTACCACTGGGCAGGGAACCCGGACTGCTCTGTGGACTGGAGAGGGAGGGGGAGAGGAGTGGGGGGAGGGGGAGAAGGGTGGGAGGAGGGGGAGGGAAATGGGAGGCTGGGAGGAGGTGGAAACTTGTTTTTTTTTTTTTCTCCTTTTCTCAATTAAAAAAAAATGGTTAAAAAGAAAAAAAAACAACTCCAGATAACAGGTTTTGGTACATGGAAAAAAAAAAAAAGAAAATTCTCTGTTATTAGGTAACTACATAATTACTAAAGGTTCTACTGATAGTGCTGGCCAGGCACTGAATAGTATGAATATCCTGATATCCTCAGTATGTTCATGCAGCATACATACCCTCAAATCAGGAGAAAAGTTGTCTGCAGAAGTTGAAATGGAATCTGAAGATATAGCAGAAGCTGACTTCGTATGCACCGAGTTCTCTGAATGAGAAGTAGAAGCACTACAAAATATAAAAACACACAGTATGTTTGGAAAATGGGGCTATGTAGACCAATTTTAGATGTTTGCTTTATAACTCCAATATTTACTGCAACCTGCACTGGAAGCATTTATAACTCCAATATTTAACACAAACTGCATTGTAAGTGGGTCCTGGGTTGTCTCTTCCATGGTTCCTAAAGACAGAAAAATTACAGACTGTTCTTTAAGAGTTAAGTATGCTTGACACTCAAGTCTGATAGACTTTCCTAGTACTTTTCCTAGTACTCTGAATTCCATCCAGTTATTTATCCATGGGGGAGGGGGTAAGTGAAATGGCTCAACAAGTTAAGGTGCTTGCCTCAGAGCCTGACAATGTAAGTTCGATCCCAACTCCCCACAAGTTGTTCTTTAATATAATGTACATGAGTACCCAAAGAAACACAAATACACACAAAATAAATAAATGTAAAAAAAAAATTAAAGACCATTCCAATATGCAAAACCATTACATCAGGCACAGCAAGTCAAAGGCAAATTTGGCATAGTCCCCATGTACATGTGGCTCACAAGCTTGTGATAAAACATGCAAATGAATAAACAGGCCACGTGATAAGAGCTCTCCCCTCTACACACATCAGAAAATTCAGGGAGAACGTAGGCAATGGCACATGATGGGAGCCTTTTCTACAACACAAGGGCTGACCAGACCGTGTGCATTCCAGGCTGCATTTCCACTGAGCTGTACTCCAGCCCTTTGCAAAAATACTTCAGTTTAGGTGCAAGTAGCCAATGCCAGTAGGCTGGCAGGGAACCTAGTCTTCCTGCAGCAGCCCACCCCCACACCCCAGTGCCTAGGAACATAGAAGTGCATTTGAGCTGAATCCTGAAAGAGCAAACTGCCAGGCCACTAAAAAAGACAAACAAAAAACACTGCACGGAATTTCTGTCCACAGTACATAGGCATGATATCTGACTGGCACTCCAAACAGTCTATGTTGATGCAACAAAATAGCTAAGACTTAAAGATTATTTTTCTGAATTTCTCTTTTTAGTGTCTCACTAGCAGGTTGATTAATATTTTACATTAAAGAGTAGGTTTTGGGTGGAGAAAAAAAACCCAGCCACATAGTTTTTACTGAAAAGTTATGTTGCCATGGATATAAACCAGATGGTTCAGTAAACAAACTAAAGTGGTAATTACAGACGGTTTTGTGTTTCAGGTGCTGATTCGTGAGCATGCTCTAAGACCACAAAGCATTATTGATAATCTACTTATAAAAGTCAGCATTCAATTTAGAGTGAGCCCTGGTTTTAAGGCTGGTTAGTACAGTGCTATTAAATTTTTTCCCATTAATTTTCTTTTTTAAAAATGTATTCACATGCTGTTTGAGGAGTCTTTACATCCACAAAGAAGTGTAGGAGGGCCTTAGAATTTTTGAGTGTGAGGGGGATCTGTAACATACATTGTGTTTTACACAATGTATCATTTAATACTATTTTATAGGAATAACACAGTATTATAAGTTTAAAAAACTGAACATTTAAAAATAAGGAGTCATCCAATAAATTTTCATGAGTAAAAAAACTGCTACAAAGGTATGGCAACATCAAAGCACAAAGAACATCCAAGGAACCATGTGTGGTTCGGCAAAGCTGGAGGTGTAGACAGGCCCGGGACCCTTTGCACATTTGACTCCAGACTCTCACTGAGCCTGTCCTGAATGACTATGGAAATAATCACACTCAACAGTTACCTTACTTTCTTAAATTCTTATACAATTTCTGATACTTGATCACATTCTACTTTTATTATTTTATTATCTTATTATTTACTAGTCTCAGATATGTAACTCAGTCCTCAAGGATAAAAATTATGTTCTTATTTTTATTTCTACAAAATCTAAATCAGCACAAAATAGTCTAAAAGAAGTCAAAAATGAAAAGACAGTGCATTAAAGCTTAAAATGCAGATTTAAAGTATACATACGTGCACACATAAGTACACACACAAACACACTTTTAAATTAGTCTCACTATTTAGCCCATGGTGGCATCCCTCCCTCGCCATCTTGGCTTCTCTCTGTTCCTTTTCCCGCTCCCCCCTTCTCTTTCTCTCTCTGTCCTCTTCTCTCTCCTTTCTCTTTCCTCTCTTTCCCCTTTTTTCCTTCCTCTCCACAACCCATCTAATAAATGTCTAACTTTATTTTGTATAGTATGTTTATCCATCTCTCTTGCCCACCAGTGGCAGTCACATGGAGACCATCTGTGTGGTCCTGGGCACCGTCCCTGCTTGGGACCCCGGCAGCTTACAGCAAACCCATCTGCATGGTGTGCCTATCTGTCTGCCTCTTGCCTACCCATCGCCCACATGGCTAGCCGCTGGGGATGCCCAGGGGACCAGCCACCTTGGTTTGTGGACCCGACGCAAGCTGCCAGGACCCACAGCAAAAATTCATAACATTTGGTGCTGTGTGACTCGGATAGGCGCTCCTGCCCAGAACTCCTCTCCCGGGGTCAGGACCCTGAATCAGGGTTTTTTTTCAACTCCCACCACCCGCTTCCCGGCTTCAAGCGGTGAGTCTCCCCTGTTCTGCTACGGTTGCTTCCCTTAACTGGAATCGTGTTTGGACTGACCCAGGGCCAGTCAACCCGCGCTAGCACTGTACACTCATACGGTGCATTCGACTGAGGACCCAGGGTTCCTCAGATTCTTCATCTTTTTTTCCATTTCTTCTCTTTTCTTTTTCTTCCCTCATGGTAAACCGCCACTCGGAGCGGCCTCTGGTCTCTCTGGTTTCTGAGTCACCTCAACCAACCGGATCCAGCCAGGCCATAACACCCCACCTGGAGTTAGGGGACGGCCAGCTCATGGGTCCTGGGTGTTCGTGCTGATTTGCACCCCACCTATACGGTGAGATGTTCTCATTATAGGCCTTGAGGTGCCGCTGTTTCGCGGGTTTTCATGATTTTGGCTGTGAATAGCAACCATCCATGTTCCCCGGCTTTTTTTATATTCCAGCCATGGCATGGTGCAGTTTTTTCAGTTCCAGCCTTTTGCTCCCCTCTGCAGCTTGTGGTGTGGCATTGTGGCTCAGTGACAGGGTAGATCACACCTTTAGGTCCCTCTTATTAGGCTTAAAATCCTTACAGCTCAAAAATTATGGCTTTTTCATACAACACGTGGCTGCCACCATTTTGACTGGGGTCAGGTGACTTCGCCACCATCTTGGCTGAGAGCCAGGTCAGGTGATCAAGCTCTTCCATCTTTACTGAAGTATATACCCTGCTTTTCATGACAGTGAGACACATCTGCTCCTGGCAGCACCAATCTACTTCATAAAAGGATGGTGGGCACCAAAGAATCTCCATGTGGAGTTCACTTCCGTTGTGTCAAAGCTAGCCATTTGGGCAAGAAACTGCCCTTGCCTTGACTGATGACAATACACTGTACAAACTGGACAAGCAGGACACAAAGAAAAAAGATTGCTGAGCTTTGCCAAGACAAAGTAAGTCAGTCTTTCTAAATTTTCCTCACAGAAAAGTCTATCAGATATCCTAAGCCTGTAGACCAAGGATGGATGCCTGAATACTGCAGAGAAACCTTTGGTGACTACCCAGGCATCCAGATGACTCTGTCATTTACTTAGTCTTGGAAGTCACACTGTTTACTCAGATAATGTTATTTCCTTCTGGGGTCTCTGATGAAGATGAGATGGTTCTAGTTTTCTTTGTTACCAAATTCAGAAAAGAAACTTACATAAGAGATGTAAATTTATATGGCTAAGAAACATAAAAGTTTAAGTTGTTTACCTAAGAAGATATTTTTAGGGTAGTAATATAAGTTATGATAGAAAACAGTTTAAGTATAAAACTCTGGACTCACTAAAATAGATAATACAGTACTTTCTCCAAATCTGCCAAATACATATGGACTAAGCAATTGTGAATTTAATTCTTAGTTGATAATTGTTCTTATTGTATGTGGTTTTACTATGTTAGAGTTAAAACCTTTCCTTTTAATTTATACAAAAGGGGGAACTATTGTGAGGATACATGTACATGGTGTGAAGGTGTATTGCTGTGACTGGCGTAAGAAAAAGCTGAACAAACAGCTACACAGGAGGTATAGGTGGAATTTCTGGGGCAAGAAATGAAGAGGAGGAGGAATCTAGGCATGCAAGGGATGCTGGAAAACACAGAGAAGAGGCAGGAGGTTCAAGATGGAAAAGAATGTAGTAAATTAATGTAAATGGGTTAAGTTTTAAGAGCTAGCTAGGAATAAGCCTAAGCCATAGGCTGAGTTTTTATAAGAAGTCTCCATGTCATTGTTTGGGAGCTGGCTGGTAGGACAAAAGACTTATTACACATCATCTCCTCAGGAATCCTGTCAGATGTGGGACCCACAGAGCAAGCTCATGACACTTGATGCTTCTGTATCTTTCCACTTATCCTAATCTGCTCCTACATAGCTTGTGTTTTAATAAATTACTACATCCCATAAGACCACAAATTTCAAGAAGGGGAATGTCAAGAAAGAAGAATGTTATTTACCCCCATTCTGTCCCTAGAATCTCCTATGCAGTTGGCAACAAGCAGATATTTGCAAAGTCCTTGTTGGTAAATACATGAGTGAAAGAACAAGGATCAAAAGACTGGATGATTTAAATCAAACCCCTTAGAGGCCACGATGAGGACACACAGATAAAATAAAAAAGAAACTTAGGGAAAGATGGTGGGTGAAAGAAAAGCAAGGTTTGTGCTTTCTGGAGTCCTGTGTGTGTGCATTTATGTACGATATATCAAGAGCCCCTCTCCCAGGCAAAGGCTCCTTAAGAGGCTAGAGAGAACACTTCCTTTAAGACTCTAGCCCGAAGAGGCAGTTGTGGCACAGGCCTTTAATCCTACCACTTGGGAGGCAGAGGCAGGAGGATTGGATCTCTATGAGCTCAAAGATCACAAACCCTAAACAACCTGTGGGACTACTCCAAACAGTATCCTTTAATTTTGTTGCCAGCAGCT